GAAGGGCCACGCCATCCCCAAAGGGCCAGTGCCACTGTCCCCAAAGGGTCACATTGTCCCCAAAGGGACACACCATCCCTCAAGGGCCAGCACTACTGTCCCCAAGGGGCCATGCTGTTTCTGAAGGGCCACACCATCCCCAAAGGGCCAGCGCTGCTGTCCCCGAAGGGCCACATCATCCCCAAAGGGCCAGCGCCGCTGTCCCCGAAGGGCCATGCCATCCCTGAAGAGCCACACTGTCCCCAAAGGGTCACACCATCCCCAAAGGGCCAGCACTACCGTCCCCGAAGGGCCACGCCATCCCCAAAGGGCCACGCCATCCCCAAAGGGCCAGTGCCACTGTCCCCAAAGGGTCACATTGTCCCCAAAGGGCCACACCATCCCTCAAGGGCCAGCACTACTGTCCCCAAGGGGCCATGCTGTTTCTGAAGGGCCACACCATCCCCAAAGGGCCAGCGCTGCTGTCCCCGAAGGGCCACATCATCCCCAAAGGGCCAGCGCCGCTGTCCCCGAAGGGCCATGCCATCCCTGAAGAGCCACACTGTCCCCAAAGGGTCACACCATCCCCAAAGGGCCAGCACTACCGTCCCCGAAGGGCCACGCCATCCCCAAAGGGCCAGTGCCACTGTCCCCAAAGGGTCACATTGTCCCCAAAGGGCCACACCATCCCTCAAGGGCCAGCACTACTCTCCCCAAGGGGCCATGCTGTTTCTGAAGGGCCACACCATCCCCAAAGGGCCAGCGCTGCTGTCCCCGAAGGGCCACACCGTCCCCAAAGGACCACACCACCCCCAAAGGGCCAGCACCGCTGTCCCCCAAGGCCCACACCACCCCCAAAAGGCCACACCATCCCCAAGGCCAGCACCACTGTCCCCACAACCACACTGTCCCCAGGGCCAGCACCGCTGTCCCCAAAGGGCCACGCTGTCCTCAGCTCACACCGTGCCCAAAGGGCCAGGACTGCTGTCCCCAGGGCCACGCTGCCCCGGGCGCAGCCTGCCTTTCCGGCGGCAGGACA